AAATTTCTACACGGGTAATTATAGATGTACTGAAAAACTTGTTTAGAAATCAAAAATTGTGATTTTTAAAGCAAAAATGTGGTCCTCAAAAGGGTTAAATTTTTTTAAAGTATTGGACACCAAATTAATTGGATTATTTTTAAGTGGCCTAGTTTTTACTCCAAGGGGTTGTGAATTCCACTGTCATTTAATTTTTGAAATTAGGGAGATAATTTTTGATAAATTCAGGAAAAATTGTAAAAAAGTAATAATTTGATTAATTCACCGCAATTCGAAAAGAGAAAAATAATAGGGATTTCGAGGAATATTCATATATATATATGTCTGGTGGTATATGTGAGAAGCGAGAGTAAGAAAGAAGGGATGCTGGAGAAGGCTGGTTGCATTTTGTAGGCATGTAGGACGAACGGATGGAGAACTCGATAGTCGTGCTCGACTCAAGCGACGAGAGTGCAAGCGCAAGGAGTTGGATGGTGTGTATAGAGTAGAATGATGAGGGGAAAAGAGAGGCAGGAAGGGTACAGGGGCAGTGGATCGAGAGAGCAAGAGAGGACGGAGACCGGCGAGTCTTAGTTGTGTGCAAAAAACAAAAGTGCATCTCGGCACAAGATGGCCGTCGCTTCACCGACTCTCAAGGTTATACCTCCTCCTCCTCCTCTTCTTCCTCCTTCTCCTCAAGCTTCTCATATATACGAAGGGTACAGTCCAGCGAGGAAAGACGCTGGAATGTGCGAATATAAGGCAGAAACTTGAGTCGATTTTATAAGAGCCCTTATCGGTTACATACATATATTTTTCTATATTTATCTCTTCAATGATCATTTCACCGATGATTTTACATACATATATACATTATTTTTTTTAACATTCATCGACCTTCAAATAATATTGCTACAAATTGAAAGATATTATTCAAAAATGAATCTTTTAAATTCATTTCTTTTTCATTGTATATATATGTATACCAAACTCTGGCCTCCTTTTCGCTTGAGCGTCTTTTGATCTCAATATATTGTGCAATTGAAATAACCACAGACTTTCAATTTTAAATTGATTCATTTATGGTTCAATTTTCATCATTATTGTTGCCTTTAATTTTTGTTACATCTCATAAAAATTCCAGTATTGTTTTGTTTTATGGTTTCTTAAAATTAGGCATTAAGTAATGTACATATATTTGCTAATGGATCAATGCAATTGTCTAATTTTGGAATTGACGTCATTAATCTCGATTGGACTTGAATTTTTAAGTGAAATTTCTTTTCATCATGAGTATATATATATATATATATATATTGCTTCATTATTTTGAGTGTGTTTTTTTTTAAATTCATCTGAGGTTTTATTTATTCTCTTGTTGCAGCATGTCGACTGCTATCGCCTTATGCATTACGTAATCATTGCATTCGCATGGTTAAACTTCAATAACAATTCGATTCTGGACCAAAATTCCATGATCAGAAATCATTTCTGTTTCAATAAATTTTTTTAAACACAAAACTGTCGAAATAGTTGTGGAAAATATTGCCTTTTAAGAAGGAAATTATAATATTTTGTTCTAATAATTTAATAACATTAAGAATTAAAAAATTAATAAAAATATAATACTTTCTTGTATGATGAGAATATAGTTGATTGAAAGAAATTCTTTCACATTATTATCTGCACAAAAGGAAGGAACAAATCGTAATAAAATTTATTCTTAAATAATGGATAATGTAATAATTTGTAGAATATATAACAGTGTTAACGTTAGCAAAAAATTTGTCAGAAGTGGGATTCGAACCCACGCCCACTATGTGGACTGCGACCTGAACGCAGCGCCTTAGACCGCTCGGCCATCCTGACCCGAGTCTAAAATTTTTAAATATTTTACATGAAGATAGCTTAAATTTTCCCTTTATTTAATGCCCTATTCGTACACTTACACTATTGCACGTGGTTAAATTTATCGACGAGCGCCACTGAAATATCTTTAAACCGAGTAAGCAAGCGAACGAACAGTATATGCACCATCCTAGTATTTTTTAACATTTATTTTTTATAGAAATTTTATTATTTCGATTGTATCTTGCACAATAGACACATATTTTATTTATTACTAGAATATACTAAAACTACTCCAAAAAAAAACACTTTAAATCTACAATATATTTGAATTTTATTACATAATTCCCTAATTAATTATTAAATTTGACTTTAATTTATCCATGGATTAATGAACAAATATAATTATAATATACAGGGTAATAAAAATTAAAATTTAAAGTCATTTGCAAGAATATGTTATTTTTCACCTTTTTTTTCTCTTTAAAAAAATTATTTAAAAAAATAGAATTTTGCGATATTTGATATTTTTTAAAAAATTATTTTTATAACAAGAGTAATTAGAAGTGTGAAAAGATATATTTTATCTGGTTATTAATAATAGACTTGGAGTTAATAGGCGACAGTAGAAAAAGTTGTGTATTGTCAGACGCGTATATACTTTGCATACAAGGGCTTTCCTTAGTGTTTGTAATATATGTTTCCATATCCTTTGGATGTTGTCTTTGCGTGAATATCGCATTTCAACCATCCACTGAACATGGATGTAAACAACCATATCAATTACATAAAGTGAATAATAAAAAAAATTGTTAGAAAATCGAGGCAAAAAAATATTTCGTTAGTTACTCATCTGATTGTTATCATGTCTTTTTTATTTACATGCTTTCGTTTCGCGTAAATTTACACTGTTAAAAATATTCTTAATTTTAATATACATAAAGTACTTAAGAAACTACGTATATTAAAGCGAATTAATATACAAACACGGAGAAAAAAGAATTGTTGTGGTTACTAAAAATTAAGTCCACACAACAATTCCGGATTGTCAATATAAAACCAGCAGTTCTATTTTTTTTTGGAATAAAAAAAAATTGTTAAAATGGGATTGTTAGTAAAACTATTTGGATTGTTCGGTGAACAAACAGAATTGTTTGATGAACAAAGAAAATTGTTATGGAACAGTTGAAATAACAAAACTAAATTGTTAAATCGGCAATACAATTTATTGTATTAACAAAGCTTTGATCCATCTAATACAATTTGTTCAGTTTCTTCGCCTTCTAAAATAATCGATAGCAGATTTCCGTAGGTCATTTCACCAGTTTCATTTGCATTAAAATCTGTGGAACATGCAACTTCTGAATCTAATTCTTTGACCTGAAACCAAACAATTATTTTGAGTTGAAATTTGTTGTTAAATATTATTTAATATACATTTTGTATTTTTTAAAGTGAGGTTATGTTCAATACTAACCGAGTATAACTTACTGATAAACGATGAAATTGTCTCTTCATCCATTCACCACACTTGCAATAGATTTCTCACTTTAACCGGATTCATTATTTAACAGCAATTTGTCATTTAAAAAAAAACTAATAATAAAAGCAAAAAATTTTCCTCCGTGAAGTATATTAAATTTTATCACTCACAAAAATTCAAATTAAAAAATTGCATTTTACTCAATTTCTACATGTTCTTGTGTACAAAATAAGGTTTTTATTAATAAAGCAAAATAATTTATTTCATATAAATTCACGTTTAAATCAATTTACATTGTAAAAATGCATATAATTTGACCATAGAGTAGTATAAGGAGACCGTACGACCATGTTAAATCTGCGTTAAGAGTGGACTAAATTTTGGTAACCGCTTAGTGTCATGAAAATACGTAATGGAACACTAGCGCCACTGATTGTGTTAAACTCAGCTGGACAATCAGCCATTATAAAAATTTTAAAAATAAGGAGCAGTGTATTTTTGGGTTATATTCAACGTACTTTTAATTTTTCCCACTGTTTACATAGTTCCCACGAGAGCGCTTGTGTTCCATTACGTATTTTCATGACACTAAGCGGTTACCAAAATTTGGTCCTCTTTCAATGTACGTCGTTCGGTCTCCTTATACTACTCCATGAATTCGACATTTAGAGTACACAGAAAATTAAAAGGCATTAAAATAAGCTGCAACGTTTCTTATTTTAATCCAATTTTTCTTATTTTAATCCATTTTGGTATTAAAATAAGCAAAATTGGATTAAAATAAGAAGCGTTGCAGCTTATTTTAATGCCTTTTAATTTTCTGTGTACTTAACCTAAATGTCACATATGAGCATTAAAATTCTGGTATTTAGAATGATTTTTTGAAAAAATTTTCCCTTACGTAACATTATTTAGACACAAACAACATATTACTTACAGAATTTCGTATTGTTATTTTATTTTGAAATAAATTTTTAATATCAAGAAAATAATCACTGTTTGGTGAAATAGGTCTCTGCGGCCGCCATGTTGGCACAGGTGTGTGAACTTGCGACCGCCACTTTGAAATTTTAAAAATTTTTTTATAGCATTCAATTGTCCACAAAAAGTCCACCTTTGTCCAACAAAAGATTTTAATTGTCCACCTTTTGTTTAAATAAAAAATGGAAAAAATAATTTTTTCAAGTCGAAAGTTCAAAAATTAGTAATTAACATTCACTAGAGCACTCATCGGTTATTTAGCGTTAATAGACGTTTGTCCAACAGAAAATTTCTTTTCTAAATAAAAAAAAAAAAAAAAAAAGTTTATTTTGGGTAAAAATACTGAAATATGGCGAAATACCAATTTTACCGTTTCCACTACATTTATTGTTTGTCCACGGTAAGCTCAAATAGACAATCAAAGTTATGCCCTAAATTATCAATTCATTCATTCCTTTAGACTGCAGAGATGAATAAAACTTAAATATGATAGTATTTTACTTGTAACAAGTTTCCTAAAAAATCAAAGGTTGGACAATTAAATCCACTAGTTGGACAATTAAATTCACTAGTTAGACAATTAAAATTATGCCCTAAATCATCAATTCATTCATTCCTTTAGACTGCAGATATGAATAAAACTTAAATTTGATAGCATTTTACTTGTAACACGTTTCCTTAAAAATCAAAGGTTGGACAATTAAATCCACTAGTTGGACAATGCAATCTACTAGTTGGACAATTAAAATTATGTCCTAAATCATCAATTCATTCATTCCTTTAGACTGCAGATATAAATAAAACTTAAATTTGATGGTATTTTACTTCTAACACGTTTCCTTAAAATTCAAAGGTTGGACAATTAAATCCACTAGTTGGACAATTAAATTCACTAGTTAGACAATTAAAATTATGCCCTAAATCATCAATTCATTCATTCCTTTAGACTGCAGATATGAATAAAACTTAAATTTGATAGCATTTTACTTGTAACACGTTTCCTTAAAAATCAAAGGTTGGACAATTAAATCCACTAGTTGGACAATGCAATCTACTAGTTGGACAATTAAAATTATGTCCTAAATCATCAATTCATTCATTCCTTTAGACTGCAGATATAAATAAAACTTAAATTTGATGGTATTTTACTTCTAACACGTTTCCTTAAAATTCAAAGGTTGGACAATTAAATCCACCAGTTGGACAATTAAAATCACTAGTTGGACAATTAAAATTATGCACTAAATCATCAATTCATTCATTCCTTTAGACTGCAGAGATGAATAAAATTTAAATTTGATAGTATTTTACTTGTAACAAGTTTCCTACAAAATCAAAGGTTGGACAATTAAATCCACTAGTTGGACAATTAAATTCACTAGTTGGACAATTAAAATTATGTCCTGAATCATCAATTCATTCATTCCTTTAGACTGCAGAGATGAATAAAATTTAAATTTGATAGTATTTTACTTGTAACAAGTTTCCTAAAAAATCAAAGGTTGGACAATTAAATCCACTAGTTGGACAATTAAATTCACTAGTTAGACAATTAAAATTATGCCCTAAATCATCAATTCATTCATTCCTTTAGACTGCAGATATGAATAAAACTTAAATTTGATAGCATTTTACTTGTAACACGTTTCCTTAAAATTCAAAGGTTGGACAATTAAATCCACTAGTTGGACAATTAAATTCACTAGTTGGACAATTAAAATTATGTCCTAAATCATCAATTCATTCATTCCTTTAGACTGCAGAGATGAATAAAATTTAAATTTGATAGTATTTTACTTGTAACAAGTTTCCTAAAAAATCAAAGGTTGGACAATGAAATCCACTAGTTGGACAATTAAATTCACTAGTTGGACAATTAAAATTATGTCCTCATTTTAGAACAATAAGATTATCGGGATACAAGTGAAAAACTATCAATTTTTAATTTTTCTTCTTCCATTCAGTCTAAAAAATGGATTCATTCATAAATTAATTATCAAATTTGATTGTCCAACTCGTGCACTGAATTGTCCAATTAGTAGATTCAATTGTCGAACTAGTATTTTGAATTGTCCAACCCTAGAATTTAAAGAAATCGCGTTTCAAGTGGAAAACTATCAATTTTAACTTTTCTTCTTCTGTACGGTCAAAAAATATGGATTCATTAATGAATTTGGTATCAATATCAATTGTCCAACTAGTACTAAGAATTGTCCAACTAGTATATTTAATTGTCCAATTCTAGAATTTAAAGAAATCGCGTTTCAAGTGGAAAACTATCAATTTCAATTTTTTTTTACGGTCTAAAGGAATGAATGAATTAATGTTTTGGAATTAATTAATTAATTAATTGTCCAACCTTTGAATTTTGAGGATACGCTTTATAAGTGAAATACTATCAAATTTAATTTTTCTTCATCTCTGCAGTCTAAAGGAATGAATGAATTGATGATTTAGTGCATAATTTTAATTGTCTAATTAGTAGATTTAATTGTCCAACTAGTGGATTTAATTCTCCAACCTTTGATTTTTTAGGATACGCTTTATAAGTAAAATACTATCAAATTTAAATTTTATTCATCTCTGCAGTCTAAAGGAATGAATGAATTGATGATTTAGGACATAATTTTAATTGTCCAACTAGTGAATTTAATTGTCCAACTAGTGGATTTAATTGTCCAACCTTTGATTTTTTAGGAAACTTGTTACAAGTAAAATACTATCATATTTAAGTTTTATTCATCTCTGCAGTCTAAAGGAATGAATGAATTGATAATTTAGGGCATAACTTTGATTGTCTATTTGAGCTTACCGTGGACAAACAATAAATGTAGTGGAAACGGTAAAATTGGTATTTCGCCATATTTCAGTATTTTTACCCAAAATAAACTTTTTTTTTTTTTTTTTTTATTTAGAAAAGAAATTTTCTGTTGGACAAACGTCTATTAACGCTAAATAACCGATGAGTGCTCTAGTGAATGTTAATTACTAATTTTTGAACTTTCGACTTGAAAAAATTATTTTTTCCATTTTTTATTTAAACAAAAGGTGGACAATTAAAATCTTTTGTTGGACAAAGGTGGACTTTTCGTGGACAATTGAATGCTATAAAAAAATTTTAAAAATTTCAAAGTGTCGGTCGCAAGTTCACAGACCTTGTTGGCACATTAAAATTAATATACATGTATCTTAGATTTTAATACACTGTAAAAAAAAGGAGTTGAATTTCAACTCCCTAGGGGATGCTATAAAAGTCCCACCCTTTTGGAGTTGAAGTGAAGGAAGTTAATGTTTAAGAGTTAATTTTATGCTTAGGGAGTTGGTTGTAAGGAGTTAATTTAATTATTAACTCCCTTTTTGAGTTGATTTTTAACTCGAAAATTTTAACTCCCAACCCACTCCCAGTAACGTTAACTCCTTAATTTTTTACAGTGTACCTGTAGTGAATATTTGCTTCATACACATGTATATTAAATCTAATACAGATTTTTCTAACAGTATATATTTAAAAAAAAAATTACAAAAAGAAAGTCTCATTTTAAGATGCAAAATTTTTAAGACAGGCTTTGTTGAATTTACACAATGGATTTTACATGCATGGCTATAATTTTTTTAATAAAAACCTGAAATTATAATTATTTCCATTAAAAATAAAATTCTATATTATAATTATTTGTGTTTGGCGAAGTGATTTTAAAATCACAGCAATGCACAGTGGCCGATTTCCCGAAAAACCTGGCCAAAAGTCAAAAAAATTTTTTTAGAAATTTATACTTTTTATTGTTGAATATTATAAAGGAGGGTTCACTGCATAATTTTGCGAAAAAAAATTTCACTTTTTTTATCACCAATTTATTATGTGAACAAGTAAAAGTGATCTTTGCCAGAGATTTACTCAGAACGTTTCATAACTATAAATTTTCGTCACAGTTAAAATAGTGAAAATATACTAATATACAGCAGATTTTTGAATATCTTTTTTTGGGAATTATTAACAAAGGTGTATGAAATATGTTGAATGTATTTATAATCACATTTAAAACGTACAGTTTTTAAAAAATGACATTAAACATCGCTATTCATGGCGACGATTTTTGTATTGTTTTATCAACGTAAATCATGAAAATAGTTGTGAAATCCACCGATATCCGCGCTCTACCTGGTATTATCATAAACTAGAATATATTTTTAATTCATTTTAATTGAAATCAGTTGCCCCAAGCTGCCCCTGCAGTTTTGGTATCACTTTTTATTTCACTAAGCGCGGTTTACCGACAGCGCGTTGCACCGGCCGGCGGTGCAACTGAACGTGAAAGACTGACTTTTTCTTCATTCGCATTCGCTTTAAACTAAAATTTAAGCACTGTCTGTAATTTAAAAAAAATAAGCTCTAACACATTTACGCAATTTTATAATACCAGCAAATATTTTAGATCCGCCATATTGAATTTGATAAAACAAATCTAAAATTTGATTTCAGAAACCTAGTAAACGTAAGTATACTAAGTTTGGTTAAAATCGTACAATTTTTTAATTTTTAGCAAAGTTTTTTAAAATCTAAACGGCCAGTTTAGATCCGCCATTTTGAATTTGACACAACCAATGTAAAATTTGAATTCAGAAGCCCAAAAAACATGGGTATACCAATTTTGGTTGAAATCGTATCATTTTTCGATTTTCAGCAAAGTTTTTTAAAATCTAAACGGCCATTTTGGATCCGCCATTTTGAATTTGACACAACCAATGTAAAATTTGAATTCAGAAGCCCAAAAAACATGGATATACCAATTTTGATTGAAATCGTATCATTTTTCGATTTTCAGCAAAGTTTTTTAAAATCTAAACGGCCATTTTGGATCCGCCATTTTGAATTTGACACAACCAATGTAAAATTTGAATTCAGAAGCCCTAAAAACATGGGTATACCAATTTTGGTTGAAATCGTATCATTTTTCGATTTTCAGCAAAGTTTTTTAAAATCTAAACGGCCATTTTGGATCCGCCATTTTGAATTTGACACAACCAATGTAAAATTTGAATTGAGAAGCCCAAAAAACATGGGTATACCAATTTTGGTTGAAATCATATCATTTTTCGATTTTTGGCCAGGTTTTTCGAGAAATCGGCCACTGTGCAATGCTGAATTTCCGACTCATCTTAATATTATATTAATTATATTAATTCTTATTATTATATTAATATATTATTTCTTTTTTTTATCGTCTTTTTTATTTATTATTTTCAGATTTGAACATAAATAGCTTCGGGAGTACTTGATTTTTTTTTGTCATTTTAGTAAATTTTTTATTTCGGGAGTATTCGAAATTCTTAAAATCGTGATCGCTTATATCTTTTAGAAAAAGTATTTTGTTTTTTAATTTAAACGTATACAATAGTTTCGAGAGTGTTCGAAAATTTTTAAATAGCGTGTGTGTTTTCACCAAATATCTCATTGTTCGAAATATATGAAACATCGATTGCAGACTAAGGTAAGAGATATATTTTTCATAAATAATAATTGTTTTTTTTTTTACTAAAAATGTTTAAATAATTTTTTTTTTAAATAAATAACGAGTATGTAAATTAATTAGAAAAATGTGTTCACAGAAAATTAAAAGGCATTAAAATAAGCTGCAATGATTATTATTTTAATCCAATTTTGCTTATTTTAATCCATTTTGGTATTAAAATAAGAAAAATTGAATTAAAATAATAAGCGTTACAGTTTATTTTAATGCTTTTTAATTTTCTGTGTTTCTAAGTGAATATTTTATGCGCAAAAAAACATTAAAATAAAATTGGAATTTATATAAGAATATCGTGCAGTGGGTCACGAGGTGTATATCGAAAATTACAAGTCAATGAGCTTAATTAATGAATGCGATCAAACATTGGATGTGTGCCATTGAACGTCGATTGAGTGCGAACGATGCACTAGCAGACCTATTTTTAATTTTCATCCCTGGCACAAAGTGTGAAGACGATCTATTTTCAGAAGGTCCCTCCGGTATTTCATTCGTTATTGATCATCGAAAAACGAACGCTGCATTATCACTTTGTGTATATATGTATACATTCATATATATATATATATACATTAAATCCATTAATTCACAATTTGTTCCATTCTGAAAAATAATCAAATTCAAACTAACGATCGTTTCTTTGATCAAACAGAATAATGTTCATCAATAAATTATTTTTACGATTAGTGTTAAATAAGATTGTTTGTTTTTCTTTTTTAAATAATATTTTGAAAGTGGGAATTTCAATTTTTTTTCATTACTTTATAATTATGCACACATAACTGAATATATGCAAATTAAAGTTCTTTTTTTTTAATTTTAACGACTTGATATTCTTTTTATACGTTGTTCTCTGACATTTTTCAGAATATGTACGATTTCTTGGAACTGTCTCTTAAAATCGTATACCTGTCATAAAATACATTGCACGAGCAATGACCCATATCAATGACGTCATTGTGACCAGCGAGTTGTGTTCTTTTTTTAACTTTTTACCCTTTTTCACGCGTAGAAAATTTAAATACCACACCTCTATATTTATTATAAAGAAATTAAAAAGCAAAGTGTCTTGGATTTTTTTTTTTTAAACGAGAGTTGAACAATTATTTTTATGCACGCATAGAAAAAGTTTGTTGTGAGAGTTAATTTTTAAAAATTTCAACTTATATTGTTTATTACAGCAAAATTTTTTTGTTGTCATAGCAAATAATTTTTCTGCGGTTATTAATTTTAATTTTTACGTGAACGTTTCGCAAATTAAAAAATTTATTATTGTTATTATTTTACTTTTTTATATATAT